AGAAAATGTCCTGGCTTGAGTACCAGAGAGGTTTGTTAGAGAGGTAGGGGAGACAGCACGTGGAAAAAACAATAAAAGAAAGTGATCTCAATGTGATCTCATGACATTTCTGATCTTGCTGAAACTAGGGCTCTGCAAACATCTTGTTTTTTTTTGTGGACATGTGCTCAATTTCATCCAGCTTTCTTCAAGGTATCTGCCAGCCCAGGCACCTCTGACTTCCTTGTCATGTGCCTGGAGATCTTGTTGGGTGTGATGTTTGCTTGTGTTGGAGACCACTTACGTGGATCTGCAAGCACACAGCAGCCTGGCTGGAACCAGTGTGTGTGCAAACCCTGTTCTCCAGAGCCCTGCACTGGTGGTCCACACACATCCCAACAGCACTGTATTACTGGATGTGCTCAAACCAGCTTTAAACTTCCAGTATGGTGGATTTCATTCTTTGCAGTCTGAGAAATTTGCTCAACGCTCTGCGAAAGCACCGAAGATCTCTGTTCATTCTTGTTTCTGCTTTAAGCTTCCTATAGGGCTTTGGAGAAACACTTCATCTCTGCGTCAGCTCTTTATCTTAGAGGAAATACTGGCATATTCCCAGCAGGAAGTATATGGCTCTTCTGGAGAAAGGATGTTGGCTTGCTGGCTAGCAAGTCTCCAGTTTGGAAAGTGGCTGGTAACTATCACTGCGGTATGGACGAATAGAAGATGAAGAGGAGGATTACTTGTTAGCTGGAAAGAAGAACTGAAATTTGAATGACATCTACAACTTGTCTGTTAAAAAGCATTAAAAGTTATAGGAATATTTTGGGTTTTCAGGTTTATTTTAGAGCTGTATAATAAAAAATGGTAGAACGTTCTAAGAAGCCTTCACAACTGTCTTAGGCTTTTAAAGTTTTTTGGTTTTCACACTATCAGTGAAATCTGTGTAAACGGACCTTTGAAATGGTTCAATACTGCCACTACAAAAATGGTAATTCTTTGTAAAAATAGGGAGTTATCTCAAAAAAGAGCTGACAATTAGAACAGGTTAAAAATGAGCATGGAGGAAAAATGGGTAGTTTTAAAGGCTATTCTACGAGAAGTTTTAGTACGCTTCGTTGTTCAAGGATAAGCTGATTTTGTTTTAGATGGAATGCTATTTATTTAAACAGTTGGAGCTTTGCAACTTGCATATACGGACAGATGGTTCACTCTCCCTTCTCTTCTTAACAAACTGCTTTGCAGTTTATCTGAAAGTTCCCCAGGTCTGCAGTGTTCATTTATCTGAAAGTTCCCCAGGTCTGCAGTGTTCATTTCAAGACAGAGATTTTAAGTGCGTATTTTAAAAACGGATGTTACAAGGGAAGGGAAGTACCTGATCTAGAAGAACATGAATTCATCCAGAAAAACAGTGGGGCACTTGCTACTGAAAAGATTCAGAGCCATCATAACTTACAGCAAAGGTAGCAAAGGGCTTTATGTACAAACGGGTAATAATAAAGACACGTAACTGTATGAATCACAGAAAATTCACAGACTGTGTGAATTCACAATCTGTGAATCTGATCTTAGAGGTACTACCACTGACAGGACCAAGATTTTTATTTATTTTTTTGACAGGACCAAGAACTTTGCAGAGTTCTTCTATATTATTTTAGGATTTTTTTTTTTTTAATAAAACAAATTTTCATTTGATTTTTGGAACACCATTAAGCATGTGTTATCATTACATACCTAACTAAGCTTTTTTGGGATGGAGGGAGTGAAAAAAATATGCATAGCCTACTGTGTTTCTGTAACTGTTGATCTTCCTCATCTTAAAGAACATAGTTTCTGTGAAGCTGATGAATGAACAGTGTCCTTAGACATATAGGAAAAATATCTGGGAAAATATATATAAGGAACGGGGTTTGGGATCACTGTTTAGAATAGACTACCATTTTTCTTTAAGGTATCACCACTGGCAAAATGTCAAAAAAAAAAAAAAAAAAGCAAAACCTTCAACTTGAGAGCTTTATTTTGCTTTTTCATTTCCAATGCAAAGTTCAGGGCAAGTGCAGTAAAGTTTGTGAACCCTTCAGCAGCAGCTGGATAGGTTTCAAACAAGCCTGAAATGGTATATGGTTTTGGGTGCAAATCAGGATGGTTTTGATCCCCAGCCACTTGAAACACAGCACTTTTGGCTGTGTGCAGCTTTGTATTTCAGTCTTCACTGCAGTCCAGACCCAGAGCTGCCCAGAATGAAGCTTTTGCTTAAAGCCCTGTGAGCAGAGCCCGCTGTGCTCCTTGCTGCTTTAGCACTTGCAGAATACATCCCCAGCTGAGCTGGATGGTCACCATGGACACATCAATACGTCTAAACATTGATACTGATGAGGCGATGTGTGGGTCTCATCCAGCTTTCCACGGGTAGTTTTATTCAGAACTCACCCCTGGTGCTACACTAAGGCTGGGGAGAAAGGTCTAGGACAGACTGAGCTGCTTCCAGATGGTGTGCATTGCACTCTTCCTAAGCGTTGCTTCAGATTTAATTAATCAAAAGGAATTTTCGAGGACTTGATCCCTTACATGCTTTCTGGCTCTATGGGAGTAGATTTCTCCACATATGTCTGACAGGTTTCTCAGTTCTGCTCTGCAGAGTGTGTAGGGCCAGGGGAAGTTTCTTGAAGAAGCCACGTGTTGGCTCCTGCAGCTCTGAGATGTCTTTGTGCCAGCAGTCACCGTAAAGCCACGTGCCATGATGGCAGGGTTGCATCTTAGGTAACGCAAAGTGAGCAAATCATGGGCCTTTCTGTGTAAAAGGCCTTGACATTTGTTGAGTTAAAGAGCTAAACAGGATGTTATTAATTAATTATTAATGTAATAATTATTCTAAATGATAGGAAGACTTTTACAAAAGCTGTTAAGGAGTGACTTTTTTGCTGTAAAGCAGTAGTCGTAATAGTAGTAATATATTATTATTTTATACATTGGGTATCCTGCCTTCTTTGTTGCACCTGTATTGCACAGCTTTGAAACTCCAGCTGAGTAAACCTGCGGCTTTTCTGAATTTGCATGGGATAATTATGCTTTGGCTGGGAGGTTTCTGACATGGTAATTTTTGTTCACGTCCTTTCCTGGCTTGCTTTCTTGTCTGTGAAGGTCAGGCCTGTAAATAAGATGACTGGGAAGTAAATGCAAGAACCTGTTAAGTTGCAGCACTAGGAGTAAGTCTACAGCTCTTCTGGCAAGGTTTTAAAGCGATGTCATATAATCACTTCCTTCCGAGCCAGCTCCTGTTAGAGAATTCCTGGGATATGCTCTCTGCGTAGAATGCTAAACCCTGGGGCCCAGGTGAGGCAGTTTTTAGCTCTGCTTTCTTATTTTATTTTATTTTATTTTATTTTATTTTATTTTATTTTATTTTATTTTATTTTATTTTATTTTATTTATTTATTATTTTTTGAAGTGGGGTTGCACAGCAATCTTTCAGATTGTTGTAAAACTATCCAGAACTGCTGCCTTGATGTATGCATTTTGAACTTCTTTTGTTCTATACTCCACAATCAAATCTAGCATTAAAAACAGTTTAACATTGTGGAGCGCCACTTCTTAGTGTATTTCGACATAGTCGCATTCTGTAATCTCTTTTCACTTTGAATAGTGCCTTTTACTAGTACTGTAACCCAAAGAATTATTTCTGCTAAAGAACAGACAACCTGGGCTTGTGATTTTGCAGGAGAGCAGTCTGTGTGTGCCTGCAGGTAATACAAGGGAAAATTTGCCACTAAAATCTGTGTTCCCACCAACCCTTGTCTTCATCCTACCTCTGTTTGTGCTTCTCTTCCCAGACCAATCTCAGCTTCTAGCTGTCAAATGCCTCCCTCCCCATCCCATCTGGGTGTTGGTTAATCTAAGGATTTTTTCCAAGTTTTTTTCAAACACGAATACTTCTAAAAAGGGCGTAGATTATACACATGAATCCAGAGGCAGATTCTGAACCTGTGAAAGCAAAGCTCTTACCAGAAGCTCTACATTTCCACAAGGCTTTATTACATCCAAACTAAGAGTATTAGTGGGAACATTAAATGTTTGCAGGATAACTGAATTTCTTCACAGAGGTAAAACAATTTCACCATACACTGCCAATCACTCTAAACTAATCTGCAAAACATTAAAGAATTTAGGATTCACTTCTAATCTGACACTAGTTTTTTTTCTAATGCTGGTTTCAAATAAGGGAGTTATGCCTGACTTAAATTACTCCGAAATCAGGGAATAGTTGGGACATTTTGGGATGTTCCTGCATGAATCTGCTGAAGTTTGTGTACTTTATGGTTATATAAAATTTGCCTCAGAGAGCTTCCAAACTGAACTTCTTATGTTACAAAAATTCTTCTGAGTCCCCATCCAGACTGAGGTTTTGATGTGGTAGCACCGTATAAACATGATTGTTCTTTTAGAGGGCTCATAATCTTAAAGAGAAAGGGTAAGTGAACGGCTTATAACATGCAAACTAACTGGGCAAGGGACTTGTAGTGTCTTTTTGTAGCGTGTGTCTAAAAAGCCTCCACTCCTCCCTCTTACGCTGAGCTCCTCTCTAGGTAACTGCTCAACTTCCTTTTTCTAACTGCTCGCTTTTCCCCCTCTTCATTTAACCCACCCACCCGGAGAGTCCTGAATACATAAAAAGCTTTTGCAATGTGCCCTGAAGCATGTATACTGATGAAGCACATACAATGTAATTATGGATAGCACAATACAACATCATGAAGCGCCTTTATTTACAGCTTCTCTATCATGAGAGTATAATGAACAGATTCAGTAAGGAAATGCAAAAGCAGATGCCTTTGGCTGGCTCCTCTTGTTCTCTTTTTGGCAAAGACAGAGGGACGAGTCTACCCTGGGACAGCCCTGCTGAAGTCAGATGAGTTACACCAGGCAGGAACTGGAACTTTTTTCTTTTCTCCTTTTTCTTCTTCTTTTTTAAAGAATACAGTTGCCAGATCTCTTTCCCCTGACTGTCACAATTTCTCTTTCCACAGAAAGCCTGTGAGAAAAGACTCTCTGCTTCTGAAAAGGTAGGATAACCTTTTAGTCACTAATAGCTAATTTGCTGAGCAGTAAACGGTGTGTACCTACCAATGCCTATAATCAAAAAATTAATATCTAACTACATATAGAAAAGAAAGAGATACTAAAATCCTAAAATCTAATTTTTGAGTGGGACAGGAACAAAAAAAAAGCACTGTGAGAGGGTTGGAGTACTAACACACAGCTGTGCTGCTCCAAAGGTATGAAATCTGCTTAGAGCTGGCTTAGGTAGCGGCATATAGTATTAATTTTAAAATGTATAAATATACCCTGCATGTGCTCAGGTGTAACATTGGACAGAGTTTCTAGGGGGTGTCTAAGGAAGCACCCTGTTTCCTAGAAACTTTAGGGAAGAGGAACCTGTGGCAACTCATAGGATCAGCCGTATTTGCAAGTGGTGATCTTTAAAACAAGTTTATTAGGGCACACCTGGGAATGCACTTCATAGAACAGTGTAGTAACAAAAGTTACAAGGACTGCTGATGCTTTGTGCTTGCTAGTGCTGTGGCCATACTTCTTGTTTTTTTCCTCTACTGAGGGCCTGAATGGTGCCTCTCATATAAAACGTGCCATTTACAATTTGCCTTTTGCTGAGGCCTCCTTTGTGTTCACACAAGGCAGCTGGCAGGAGTGCTGACTCCCCAGAGCAGAGCCTTGCCAGCACTGGCTAATCAATATTCAGCAGATTCCGCTGCTCATTGCAGAGCCATTGATTATCTCTGGAAGGTTACACCCCCTGTGTGAGTGTCATTTTTCAGTCCCTTCCCTTTACCCCCCTTCCCCAAAGCTCTCATGAGGACAGAGTACTGGGATGGAAATGAGGTTCCATTTCAGGATCTGAATAGTTTGTCCTCAGCTGTCAAAAGAGCCCTTGGGAAGTAGGTAATTTCCCCACTGCTGTGTTGTTTTTTGTTTGTTTGCTTTTAAATTTATTTATATCAGCTTTGTACTTTTAATTTCTGGGGCATATCTAATGATTGCAAGTTGTAACACTTGTGTTTGTTGTATTTGATGTAGGCAGGTTGTATTAGTTGAGACTTGGTCTCCCGTGATGAGAGGAAAAACCCATATCTTTTACACAGCTGTAGCTAACCTTTCTGACCTCTGGCACTGCAGGGAAGAGCCATGGATTCATATTCATGCTATTCACAAGCAAATGGATGGGGAGGCTCATGGAGAAATAAAAACATAATGCAAGCCCTCATCTGCTGACATGCTACACTCTGATTATACCCACATGCACTACACAGCAAATTCCCCGTCTCTAATGCAAGAGGAGAGGCAGTGAGCAGGTTTGTGTGGGACAATACCTGTTCATCACCCTGCAGTCAGTCTTGCAAAAATCATAACTAGGTCTCTTTTTAAATGTGAGTTCTCCACTTATGGGTGTATTAAGTTATCAGTAGAGAACTGAGAGATAAATATGCAAGTCTAAACACTTGAAGTTATTCCAGGTGATAGAGTAGATGCCAGATATATGGACTGATACAAAAGACTTACTGGAACAAATGTTTTGAGTTCCTTACTTTGATTGTAAATGTGGCATTAACAATCACAGCAGAGATTACAAATGAAAAGTCTGAGGTCTCAGAGGGGAGCAGGCAGCTGGAGTTAAGATACTGATGGGACTTCAGTGGAGGACAGCAATTTTAACTGTAGATAAAAATCATAGCAGAACATAGACCATGCCTTGCTGGTCAGCACCTTGCAGTAGTGCACCTTGGTGCATCTCAAAGAGAGGATTGTGGTTTGTCAGGTGCTGGTGATTTAGCTCCTGTCTCCCAGGGCAAGTTCAGAAACCAGCTCTGTGACCATCGCCAGCAATCCCATCCAGTCATTAGCACATACCAGAGAGATGATGACAGGGATTTGAAAAATGGCAAGCTGGCATTAACTGGGCTTTGTTTAGCCAGGGGGGCTTCCTGACAACTCCCTGTCTTCCTGATGGAGACATGGGACACAATGGACCTGACTGACAGAGAAAGTTTGGTGAAGCGTAAATCAGGAGTTAAAGTGACAGTGGACAATGGAGAGAGAACTCAGCTGTCAGAGGGAGTTGTCCCTGGCACGGGAGAAGAGTGGCTCCCTGTGCCATCCTGTTTGTCAGGAAGTGTTCTTTTTCCTGTTTCAGTTGTCAGCCCACTGGCATTAATTAATGTTTTGGTAAATTTTTTGCAAAGAGGCTGTGTTGCTACTCGAGGGAGAGGATCCCTGAGATATGGTTTCGTAATAAGCTCAGAGCAGATATCATTCTGAGCTTATTCTATGTATTCAAAGGATGAGGTGAAGGACTAATACTCTGCCGTGGCTGGAGAACATTACAAAGTAAATCTTAACAGAGAGCGCACTGTTCCTATTCCTCTATTAGGCAGAACTCTTCCTGTCCCATGTATACTGACATTAACCTGTAGTAATCATGTCAATGAAAAGTCTTATAGGGAAATATTGAACTGAATATTTGTAGCGATTGCAGCAGATAAAATAAAGTAAGTTAGCATGCTTGAACCAAACAGCTCACACTATTCACCAGCAAATCTATCTAAGCAACACAAACATCTGAATTCTATATCTCCTTTTCTTAGCGTTCATACCACCAGTGCTTTGGGGATATATAGTAAGTTGTTAGGGATGCAAAGAGCTTTCAGGGATGCAGTGACAGCCAGTGGGTTAGAGAGCAGTAAACTCTTCATGAAACACTATATGAAAAACCTCCAAATTCCCTGAAGACCTCTTACATGTCTGGCAAGTGACATTCAACCAGAGTAGACTCACATTTTTCCATCAATTTTTTATTGTGCATATTATGCCTTCTAGCTGCAAAATGACATTTAAAGTATGAGAAAATAAATATCTCATGAATAATGTGTTAAATATACTGCAATTTTGTAGAACAATGCAAATCCACACAGTTTCAGCTATAGACTCTCCTAATGTTCAATGAATGCAATAAAGTCTTCAGCACCATTGATTATGTTGATAATCTGCTGATGGAATTTGTATCAGACGTAATCAGATTCATTAGACCTCATTATCAGGAGGAACTTTGAAATTTAAGATATATTTGTGTTACAGAGAGACCTGAATTACCAGTCAGTATTGGCAGTTCACTTGGCTAGGCTTATCTTGACTAATACTGGGTAAACCCATCTAGTCTAAATTCCTGGCTAAGCTTATTCCAGTACAGTCTAGATATACTCCTTCAGGCCAAACTAAACTATTACCAGAATTTATAGTAAAAGAAATTAAAAAAAAATAATACATGAAATTACAATAAAAATCAATATTAAAAAAAAACATGATTTGATGTACATGCGAGACAGAAAGATGTCCTGTGCGTGTGTTTTATTGAGTATGAGATGTGTGCATTTGTTTTGAGCACGTTTTTAGTGGAGAAAGATTATGTACTCCTGTCTTGGCAGCAAACATGGAAGGAGAGTTACAGAAATTGTGCAAACTGTGTGAAGTTTTTTTTACATGTCAATTTGGTTGTGCAGTAAAAATAATTATAGGACTCACTTCCAGGAATGGCAGGCGCAGAGTAGGAGTTCCTGTATTTGCAGCGTGGCAAATGAAATGTCTTTTGGGATTCATGACTGCAGAATAAAGTCTTGAAAGATAAAGACGGCTTTTGTTGAGAATGTTATTCTTGCATTTTTGAAAGTATTTCCCTTAAGGAACATAGATGTGAACTAATCGCCTATATTTTGGGCAATGTGGCTTCTCAGAATTACTGCATATGTCAGTGTGGCTAACAGCCTACAGACTTTTCAGACTAATTTGGTCTGAACCTGTGAGTCTGTTTACACTGGAGACAGCAATGGTCACTGAACACATGTGGACCCCATCTTATTAGGGGGCTTTGTGAACACTTAATATACCACTGTCTGGAAGTAATAAAACTCCAGCATCCAGAATTGTGTGGGAGGCCATGAAGACTTTAGTGGCAGGTGTGCAAGTTCAGACACCTCTGTGTACATATCTGTGAAATACTTGGCCAGAAAGTATTTTCAGTAATCCAGCTGCTTTGTGCTTGTTCCCAAGCAGAGGGCTCTGTGAGCTATTTGTGCTAACGTCAGCATTTCACATTAGAAACAAAAGTAGATTTCTGTTAGATAGAGGTGAGCTCTTACCCTGCGTCATCAAGTTGTATTTTCTAGTGTTGTTTTGATCTCTGATTAAATATCAGTGAAATACTTGCCAAGTAATCTGTCTTGGGTGTTCATTACCTGAGTTAGGATTATAAAGGTGCTAGAGTTCTCTCTTGCTTTCCATGCTGAAATTGTGCCAAGCATTTTCCCCTGAACAGATGAAGTGTAATGCTAGTTGTTCTGTTTGCTGTCAGTGCAAACTCTGAAAGGAAAGATAAAATCTGGATTAATTTGTCTGCAGTTAGAACTTGCTTGCATCCTGGCACTTCAAAGGCTGATGTAGGAAGTGGCTGATGTACAATGGTGACTGGTTTGTTAGTACATGCCAGCTGAATCTGTCACGTGCAATGAATAAGCTTCTCAGATTCTTGCTCTATCATTAGCTTTCTGGTAACTTGTGTTAATTTCTAACATAAAGGAAAAGAGTGAAAGAAGACTGAGGTGAAACCTTGGAAGTTTTCAATTGACATTTGCATGTTTGTAGTAAGACTGCTGCAGCTACCGTCTGTGCAATTTTTAGTCTATGCTGTAAAGCGAACAGGGAATCTTATTGCTTTCCACAGCATGAGATATATCAGTAAACCAGGCTTAATCATCACCATGCAGCCATCCAGCCCCTTTTTAACCCAGCACAGAGTGTACCTGTCCAAGCCATGGGCTGCCAGCTTCTCCAGGAGAATACTGTGGGAGACTGTGTCAAAAGCCTTGCTGAAGTCTAGGCAGACTGACAACTTTTCCCTCATCCACCAGGTGAGTCACCTGGTCATAGAAGGAGATGAGTTTGGTCAAGCAGGACTTGCCTTTCATGAACCCATGCTGACTGGGCCTGATCCCCTGGT